AGAAACTGGTTTATCAAACGTCTTCATGCTAAACTTACTTGTTTGTGGTGACGCTTTGAGGGGAATATAAAAGAGAAATTGGCTTGAAAGATGACTCCGGAGTAAGAAAATGGGAGAGGGAAATAATTGATTTTGGTTATTAGATCATTAAATTTATAACTTTTATGAGAAAATATAATAACAAACTTCTCAAGAAAGAATGGGATACAAACTATTAACGCACGTAACACCTGTTTTGTTTTCATTCAGTAACCTACGAACAAACATTTTCGTTACCTAATAAATGTTACGCGTTAACTTCGACTCCTTATATAATGAATTTATTTTATAATTAAGAAAATAAAATCAACAAGGAAAAGAAACATATAGTAAATTCACATTTCAAGAGGAAATAATTATGTCTTAAAGGGATTAAAAAAGATGTGTAATATCTTTAAATTTATTTAAAATTTAAGAGTTTTAATATTGTTGACGAGATACTTACTGAGGAAACGAAATTAAAACTATTATATCAAACGAATTATTGCACTAAAATGAGAGTTGCTGCCAGCTTTCTTTTTAAACAAGATGCATGTTTAAAATTTACATTATTAAAAGATTAAATTTTATATAATTAAAAAATTAATTAAAAAACATAAATACATATCACAAAAAGTTAATAATTTTAATAGAGTAAAGTAAGATTTTCATAAAAATGATTTTTTGTGTGGAATGTATCTCTTATTAAAGAAAATATTCATACTATTCTTCTTATATTGAAATAATTATTAAATACATATTAATGAACATGGAAGAGAGAAAAAATGCAAAAGAAATATTGTTGATTTCTGATAAAGAATTAAATTATTTATCATCCAATTAATTTCAATAATCAATTTAAAATGAAAAAGAAAATTAATATAAAAAGAAATTAATCTTACTTACTCTTGAAATAAAAGATAAAAATACTTTATTTGTATAAAATAAAAATATATTTAATGGCTTTTAAAGCATTTTAATATTAAAAGCCCATATATTAATGATTGAAGAATTACATAATATTAAATAATACTCGCTGAGAGAAAACAGCATATTAAATAAAAAAATACCAGTTCTATTTCCAAAAAAGATGACCAACAATCATATTTGAGTTTAAATTTCCCGTTGACAAAAATTTCCATGATAAATATTTAGGACTTTTAAATCCAAATATTACTGTTGTTAACAAAATATATTAATCATCCAATAATTAAAAATATTAAATAAAACAATCCTCGTTTATTTTTTGAAAGTTGACCAATAATCCTAGTTGAATTTAAATTAAGTGGAACCATTATTTTTACATAAAATATTTATGATTTTTAAATTCAAATATTAATGTTGTTAATATAATATATTAATGACTAAGGAATTAGAAAATATTAAATAAAAAAGTTTCCAGTTTACATTCAAAGTAGACCAACAATTCTATTTAATTTAAATTGAGCGGAACTAGAATTTTCATATTAAACGAAATTATTTTCAGGAGTTATATATGAACGACGGTATCTAGGGAACATCCTTAAAGGAGAATGTTATTAAAAATCATTCCTACTTTCATCCTCAGGACTTCTTCTATCAAAAGTATCAATCCTAAACCAAATTTTGGTTTGAATATTTTTTATAAAATTTAGCTTTTAAATACTGATTTAGTTTATATTTTCGTCGATTTTATTTAATACAAAACTTTTTTTTAAAAAATATATGAAATTTATATTAAAAAAAAATATATATATTAAAATATTTATAAAATAAAATAAAAATAAAAAAAAAAAAATATATAAAGAAAAAATATTAAAAAAAAATGTGAAATATATAAAAAAAATATAATATAAAATGTGTGAGTTGAAATTAATTGAATTAGTTAAGAATTATTTAAATAAAATCATTTGCTTATGTGTTAATAAAAAACGTATGACACGAACAAATTTCAAGTCATATTTAGTTCAAGCAAAATCATTGCGCATAAAATGAACATCACTTTCATTAACCACACCGACATTAATGCACAAACTTTAATCGCGCCACCATCAAATATCCATAACAAAGCTCTAAATCATGAACTGGGAGGCGTAACATGTAAGATTTATAGAAAATAAAAATAAAATATATTTTTATTTATTTATATTTTTTATACTAAATAAATATTTATAGTTGTGTATTTGTGTGTTAAAAAGTTTTAATGTAAAAACCATATAGTTTTTAGGAAATAAAGTTTTAATGTAAAGAGAGGAAGAATTAATTATAGAAAGAGTCCCAGCTTTCCATTTGTTTTTTCATTTAAAGGTTGTTATGATTAGTTTCAAACAAATACCCAATATTTCTCATTCACTTATAATTTTAGTTCTCTCTTGATTCAACTAGATATATTCCCATTTATTTTAATTATTTTTTAATTATTCTTGAATTAATTATTTTATTTATCTCTCAACAAAAAAAATATATTTATTTATTGAAAGGGTTAGACAATTTTAATGAAATTATTTTAATAAGTATTATATTTATTGCTGTTAGAGTTTTAAGCTGAAATTATTGTGAGAGGGAGAAAATGTCTAATAAGAAACTTACTTATTTATACCTTTCATAAACATTACAATATTAAAAAATCTTTCTACCCGGTACTTACATCTTAGTATACAAAAAATAAAAACTTAAATTAGTTTACTTTATTTCCAATCCTTATTATGTGTTTGTTTTGGAGGAGTGAATTTAAGTGAAAAGATAAATGAAAAAACGATTATTTAAATTTAGAAAAAAAAATTAAAAATAAAAAAATTTGAAATAAAAGTTTATAAAATTTATTTATTAAAATAAAAATAAATGTTTTAATAAATAAAATTAAATAATTACCATTTATCTTTATTATAAAAATTATTTAAAATAAAACATAATTTGTGTAAATTATTATTATTACTATATCATTATTATTGTATTATATATTTAAGATCATTATGTTATTATTATTGTAATAAATATTGTTATTATTATTATGATAATAATTATTATTATATTATACTATTGTTATATTATTATAATAATAATTATTATTATATTATGATTATTATATTATAATTAGATTTATGACAATATAACTATCATATAGAATGTGATACAATACAAAATTATTTAAAACTAATAATTCTTTTAAAAGGATTGAAACTGAATAAAGCAACAAACACGTAACGGAGGCTTCACCTCACCTCTCTCTTTTAGGTGACCCAACTGCTATGAAATCACTTCCCCATCCTAGAATTGATTCCCGAATTACAGAATCGGTTTCTAGTCGCATAACCGATTGATATCACTCACACCAATTCTCATGAGCACAGTAACATTAAAAAATCCATTTATTTTTTCTCAAATCTTACGATCTTTGTACGGATCCATCTTTTTATCTTATCTCATAAATCTTCACTTTCAAATCAATGCAAATCACGTGAAACAAACACAATTCTTTCATCATGCCATTCGCGTGAACAGTAGTAAACCAACAAAAACAAAACGAATCTCCCTAAATAAATACCAATGTAGCTCCAACGACAAAATACTAACGTTGGGTTTGGTTTCTAGAATAAAAATTACTAAAATAAAAAAAATGTTAAGAAAAAAGGGAAAAAATAGATAAAAGATAAAGTTAATTATTAATTTATTTTAGAGTGAAAATAATGAGAAATTGAATTTTTAAAGTTCTGTAATTTAATTAATAAATATAACAAACAGTATAATTGTTTCCATTATTTTAAAATTATTTTTTCTTTCACTTATATCTTATTTTCATCTTACATTTTTTCAGTGTAATTTATTTTCACCATTACCAAGTTATCATAAATTAACATTAATATTAATTAGGTTGTTGTTGATTTAAAGTCTAATCCAAAAACAATAAATATATATTTAAGGTAAAAAGATAAGCAATTGTCTCAAACAATTGTTGACTTTGACATCAGAATGGTAAATAATCTCTCAACTAAGGTGATAAAGACAAACACTTAAAAATTACAAAACTTATAACTTATAACTTTGGTTCATATCGAAACATTCACCAATCCTTTAAGTTTACACTAAGATAAGTTTATATTTAATCCTTATAAAAAATGATACATTTAAAAAATAAAAATAAACTTATTATAAATGATAATTAACATACTTTAAGTCTAATTGAATTCCATATCATCTTGTAAAATAAAATTTATATTTACATATGTATTTGAAATTGGTATTATATTTAATAAAAATACTTCCAACAATAAATTTGAGAAAAGATTATTAAAAATTAAAAAAAATAACATATTAATTAAAAATAGAAAAGTTGAATATTAAGAATAAAAATTGTTAACACTATAAATGTGAGTGTGACATTAAATTAAATCAAAATAAAATAAAAAGGTTTAGATTAAAGATAACGTCAGTTTGTTCCATATGTAGATACATATATGTATCATAAACGACTTAATCTCCATCCCTAACTAAAGGGAACATATTACATGTAAAAAAAATGACATACAAAGACAATTTTTTTAATAAAAAAATACATAATGGATGAAAAAGTAGTGTATGACAACAAGTATTCGAATACGATTTTGATTTAAAATAGCAGAAGGAGCCCACTCTAGAAGCATTTCCCCCTGGCGTTGATCCAGATGAATAACATCAAAAGCGACTGTAGAGAGGTACTGTCTCTGGTAGTGGCTGGGCCAAATGATCAAACAGTTCCTTTCTTCACCCTCAAACAAGGAAAAGACATTATCTTAGGTCGCCTGCACTGCACTGCACCCATAACTTCACTTATCCAATCTATTCTAATTCCTACTTTAGTCTTTGTCAACACTTCCCTTTATTGCTCTTTATATTCCAAACTCTCTCTGTCACTCCACTCTGCCACACATCCACATTACCCTCAAAATAATTTCACTTACATTTTCCCTATAAATCCCATTCCTGTTACTCATAAGTATTCAACCAAACCTTGTACCTTTCCTCAGATGGCCACAAATACTGCCACCCCTCAGGAGAAAAAACTGGAACAATTGAAAGAAGAAGAGGGAGAAGAGGAAGATGAAGAAGAAGAAATTGAAGCATTGTCACTTTGCGATCTCCCCGTCAATCTCATCAACGATGAGACTCAACCAAAACCAGAACCAGATTCTCAGATCATAGAAACTCGAGAAGATTTTGATTTCCGCTTATGGGGTACCCCTTTTTCCTCAGAATCAGAAATGTGTGCTGCTGATGAAGTTTTCTTTCAAGGTCAGATTCTCCCCTTGCGTCTCTCGTTAAAGCGATGTCAATCAAGGTCCGAGTCCTTGGGTCATGGTTCTCTGAGAGAGTTTCGTAGCAATAGCAGTAGAAGCAGCAGCATAAGAAGCCAGAACTCAACTAGTAGCAGCTCTTCCACCTCCACCACAACCCCAGGAATTTCCAAACCCAGACCTCAAAATCAAAATCAAAATCATTTCCATGCTCATCCAAGTCCCCAACCTCAATTGAAGGTAACCATTCCAAGACAAACAAGCTTCGGTAATCAAGGTAGAAAATCATCTGCATGGGACTTTTTCCGTTTGGGTGTGGTGCCTGCACCCGAGATAGCATTGCAAGATCTCAAAGTCCGCAGCACCAACGGTATTAACAAAAATCACATAGCTCGCAACAATAGCAGTAACAACAGCAGCAACAATAGTAATAGCGCTGTAAAAAGGAGTTACAGCGCTAAGGGAAATCACGTTTTGAAACAATTTGTTGGTATAGGTGGTGGCTTTTGGAGTGGTTGCAAATGTTCAGTTGAAACAGTGCAATCGAACATTACCATGATTAAGGGTAGTACTAAAAGCGCCAACAAGACCGAAAGCGTAACGCACGCGATGAAAGAAAAAGCGGTCGAAAGGAAGAAGCAGAAACAGAGACAAAAGCAAGGAAAGAGGACTATGTCGCGTCGTCGAACGTTAGAATGGATAAAGGAGCTTTCGCATGATGCAAGCTATGCCGATGATGAGACTTTGTTATCTAAATCTTAAACGCTTTAGCTCAGAGCATGCTTTTAAATTTTTTTTTTTATTATTGGGTTAGATTGCCTTTATAGCCGTTGGCTTTTGTTTTTGTTCTTAAATTTCATCATTGCGATCGAGAGTGGAGACTCTGTAATCAAAATTTCTTACCGTCGTGAGAATGATAGTTTTTCTTTTTCATTTCTCTTTTTGACTGATGGTGATTGAGTGCATGTTAAAGATTGAATGTGTTTCGTAAGATATTGTTGGTGAGATCTGTGTCCGAGGCGAGTGGCAATGGTGGATTATAGAATGATAAGGTCCTCCGTAAGTGGGAATAATTTGGTGCTTATGCTTGTCGTGACAGAAGGAACTTTCGATTCTTAATGATTGGATAATTGGTTCCTTGGAGTATGTGAATAATAATGATGATGCATGGACATCTAAGAAAATTATCCCCTTTTTATATATATTTTAATAATAAAATATGATTCCTAAAAAAAGTTAAATGCACCTTTTTTTTTAAATCACAAAAATATATACATTCTTTTTAATTTACAATATTAAAAGTATAATAGAAATATTTTAATGCGTTAATAAAGTTTCCTAATATTAACTAGGTACCATGATACATTAAAATTCATTTGACACACCTAAAAAAATAAAATAGTCCTAAAAGAATTAATTTTTATAGTTTTTCAAAAAAAAAAGTAAAAAATAAGAAAGAATAAATGAATGTAAAAGAATTAAGTGTATCAAGTATCATTTTTCTATAGTTTTCTCTGTCAATTTTCAGGTGTATTTTTTTTTTACTTACACTCTCCTGGATGAATCTCTTTATATCTATAAATTAAATAAGACTTACAAGACAATGATTCCAAAATTATTTTCTAAATAGAAATAAGTTACGATTTTTTATTGTTGGTTATATATTGAGTCTTATTTATCTTTAACTTAGAGTGTATAAAAAATGTTACTTATTTATTTTAAACAACTTTAGAAAATATAGATAATTACAAATAATAATTAAAACTAGTTTAAATTACATTTTAAAAAAATTGTGGATAATTTAAAACACATATTTAAAAATATGCATAGTTTACGCCATATATTTAAAATTATAGATAATTTAACTTTAAATATTTCAATGATTAAGTAGGTCAGGTCATAATCAAATCAATACTTAAATTAATTAGTAAATAAAAAGTGTTATACGTGATCTATAAGTTATATCTTTTGATTTAATAATAAATATTAAATATATAAATTGTTATCAGATATATAGTCATCATTGTCTTTAAATAACAACCACATCTATATATATTCCAGAAGTGCACTCAAACTAATGGCTAAACTTAAGCTATTAATTCATAATATTTATGTCTTATTAAATGAAAATATTGTGAAATAATTAAAGGTGTTCAGATAAAAAAAATATAGGATATTATTTGAAAGTTAATTCATAAATAGAAAGGGAAAAAAAATTCTATAAATATGTAAATTAAGAGATGAAAATATTAAATAAATAAATTTATAAAAGTGTACGCGAACTGTCACAAAAATCCATTTTAAAGGCAATGTTAATCATTAGGATTGGTATTCCTAACATTCATAATAAGCTTATGATATCCCATCAGATTTATTTTATTTTGTTTGTTTGATTGTCAAATCTTGTTTTATTCATTTCACTCAACGGATATAAGACTAAGAAGTTATCAAGCCCAAGTATGAATTGTTAGGGATACTTTATTGGTAGCTGCTATTTACACCTTAACTTTAACTCTTTGCAGCATTTTTCTTTATGTTATTTTTGACAAAAAAAAATACTTTTAATACAAACTAATTATTTCAGTAATATTTGTGAAATAAAAAATCAAGCTGGTCTGAGATAACTTTTAAAAGGAGAATATTTTGTAAACTGTGTCTTTTAGTTGTTTAAATCGAGAGAAAAAAATTATGTTAGTTTAAAATATTTATTAAGTTAATTCAAAGTAAAAAAAAAGTTCTAAATTAGTAATTATCAAGCTATGTTATTGAATAAAAAATTGATAAATTAACTTTTATATATATATATATATATATATATATATATATATATATATATATATATATATGAATTTAAACACACCAATTAATTTTAAAATACGCAATTCAAATTTCTTATATTTCTAAATTCTTCAAATTAAAGTAATTATACATTATGTTACGTGAATGTATAATTAAAAATAAAAAATAAAGTTTCTGATAATTGAAACTTAAATTAGGGTTCATCATCTTCGACCTCCCTTCATCATTTTCAACTTTAGCGATTGATGTTTAGGTTCATCACCAAATTAGGGTTTATTAAAATCAAATTGGTTCGAGATTAAAGACAAAACAAATCATGGATTATGCTGTTAGGAAAGATGACGCTGACGTAGCATGAGTGATCTGTCAAAAACTAACTATGTCAACGTCTCAAGCTCATCAAAAACTTAACCCGATCAATTTAACGACAATGACCCAATTGAGTCAATTTTTCAATATAAAAAATCAAAATGGTGAAACCTATAAAAAAGATCTAACCGAAAATATCCACATAAATAAAGAGTTCCGAAAGGTTTAACCTAAAATTAATCACGTGCAACCTTTATTTTACGTTATTTGAAATTCCTCATTGTATTATTTGAAACTCCTTCATATTGGTTGAAAACAAATTTCGTAATTTTCATCATTTAAAAAAAAATTATATCTAATATCGAAACATATTATCTCTATATATTTTTAATTCTCTTAAGAACCCTTTTCTCAAAATTTCTCATCCAAAATTTCTATATATTCTTAAATCCAAGTCCTAAAGTTTGATGTTGCCTGGTCCAAGTCGTGGTCTTCTACTTTTACTTTATTTTATTTTTTTCTAATGTGTGGTCCCTGTATGTTAAGGATATCAAGTGCATTTTCAGCCGCTTCTTCCACTTCCTTTCTGTACTTTAACTGAATTTGGAATTAGTAACTCAAGCTATGATACATATTTTTTTACCTAAATTTTTAAAAGGAAAAAATATTTTGATATATATTTTTTATAATATTTTGATATAGTATATATGTTATTTTTTATTGATTTATTAGGATATTGATATATTTTAAATATAATATAAAAATAATACGTGTGTTGTATGAAAATATTGTAAAATAGTATTTGTTAATATATATTTTTTATATTCTTAACCAAAATGTAAGTGTGTATGCAAATCCCAGCTTGAAAAAATGGGCTAATTGGTTATGTTGTATTGATGGAAAATCTAGAAGGGCACAAAATATACACGTAATTGACAAAGAGTGAATACCAAACCTTCTACTACACAGATTAGATAATGATTTAGTGTTGAGGAATTTGATCCTCAAAGACGTGTATGTAAAGAGAAGAGACAGAACAAGACGTGTGTGTCAAAGGAGTTCAATCATAAAAATTAAAAATCTTCTAATAATTATACAAAATATTCATAATGATTAAGTATTTTTTAAAATAATTTTAAAACATATATGCACAAAAGATAAATTAAACATCTTACTTATATCGACTTAATATTAGAAATACCAATAATTAAATTTACCTGTTGCTAATCATTTTTATGATTTTATATTTAAAATAATATTCACGTTTACCTTAGATTTTTACAAAGTATATTGCTAATTGTATTTCAAAATTATGTGAATGTTGCGGCTAGGGTCAGTGTCTTTGTAATCTACATTCAGTTTGTTCAAGTTTAGTTTTATATGAGTGTGTGCCAAAACTATTTGGATCAAAGGCAAAAAATAAATTATATATATATATATATATACATATATATATTTAAAATAAAAATATCATAATCTGCAAAGCTATGTCCCAAGTAAAAATAATTGTCTTGATATTTAAAAAAAGGGGTTAGTAACCGCAAAGGTTCATCTTTGTTAAAGTAAGTAAGTTTAGATAGAAAGATAATTTTTGAAAAAAATAAAAATAAACTCGCGATCTTTAATAATGAGTACTTCATTCTTGGAAGAAGGTTGTCTAGGTAGCTAAACCATGTTTAGTATAAACTTATCAAATGAAAAAACTTAAAGTTGTCAAAATGTGTAACTTAACTCGATTTATCGGGTTAGTCATTTAGTGAGTCAATCCAACCCAACTCATTTATTAATGAGTTGAAAAAATTTGAATCCCTCAACTCACTATGGGTTGGTGGGTTTAACGGGTTGAGTAACTAGCTCACTTAATCATAAGTTTTTTAAAATAAAAAATATAATTCTTTTTAATTTAAATCTAAATAAATTTCACTCTAAAATGATTTTAAACTCTAAAGACAATTCAAAATAAAAAGAAAATATCATATAATCCAAAAAACAAAATAAGTTTTTAATATTGATAATTTTTGTATCACTGTCCATTTATAATATTAGAGTTTTGAAACATCTTATTTTTATCCCAATCTATAATATAATAAAAAAATGTTAACTAATAATATTAAAACACGAAATAATAAATAATTAAATTAAATTAGACGGTTTGGAAAGCCAACTTAGCTCACCACGGATTCAATCCGAATGAGTCGAATCTAAGTGAACTGGATTAAAAACTAATTCGCATAAAAAAAATTATAACTTTTTTAAATCTAATCCGTAATTAAGGTCTTGTTCACTTAGTGGATTTGAGGGAAAGTAATTGAGGAGATTTGAGAAGATTTGAAAATAATTTTTTTTGTTGATTATTTGAGTGAATTTGGAGGTAAATGAGATTGAATTTGGAAGTAAATTTTTTTAATGTGTCACGTCAATAAAATCCTAAACTAATTCTCACAAAATTTACTTCAAAATTCATTCTCACTTACCTCCAAATTGACTCAAATAAACAACAAAAAAATTTATTTTCAAATCCTCTCAAATCCCCTCAATTATTCTCCCTCAAATCCACTCAAATGAACAAGACCTAAGTGAATTAGCTTAAAAACAAAATCAAAATGTACTCAGTATATTTTAATAATTCAAACAGTTTATTAGTATCTGTCTTTTCTTTATTTGATATATTGACAGAGAAACCACAAGTATTTACACAGTATAACATCAAAATAAAGTGACTTAATCATTAAGATTTATTAGTAAATGCTTTTCCACTCTCTCTCTATATATTATATTTTCTTCCATTTTTGCATCACCCCGTCCAATACTCTATGAGGCTAATGAATCCGTGGGGATTCTCATTCACTCCACAGTTTAGTTTAATAGTTTATTGTTTTTCCTACGTTTAACGCGGAATCCACACGTTCCTCCTCATTCCCATTTTCTCCAGTGGTCAAGACTATATTAGTTACTTCGCCAACCCAAAACACACTCACTCTCTCTTTTTTCCACTAACCGCGTATCAAACAGAACCAAACAACAGAACAGAGCAGAGCAGAGCAGAGAAACAGAGCGCGTTAAGGATGTTGGACCGATGCCTGAGGCCACTGGAGATGTGTTTTGGTGGTGGAGGCAGCGACCAAAGCCTTCTCTGGGACACTGACCTTAAGCCACACGCTTCAGGGAACTACTCAATTGCAGTAGTACAAGCCAACTCCTCCTTGGAAGACCAAGCACAAGTCTTCACCTCTCCCTCCGCAACCTTTCTTGGCGTCTACGACGGCCACGGCGGACCACAAGCTTCCCGTTTCATCACCAATAATCTCTTCTCCTTCCTCCTCAGTAAGAAGCCTAAATTCATTTTTTTCCTTTTCTATCATTACAATTTACATGCATAATCATCGCTCTAATTTTTCAACTTATAATAAACAACAATACTCCGTCCAAAAGTATGGAGATTATTTTGATTAATAATGGTGCTGACCACATAATAATATATTTCTCCGCCAAGGTCTTTTAATTCTGAAAGCAGAAACATAGGAAAAAAAACAGAGCTTGATACACTGGTAAGGTAAATACAAGAGTTATATGATACACGTATTTCTGAAATTAGCAGTACTTTCTCCGTTCCAACTAAATATACGATATTGATTTATAATTAATGATGTAGAAAGTTGATGAAACTGATTGTTCTGCGTGGCAGAATTCACAGAAGAGGAAGGTGGGTTGTCGGAGGAGGTGATAAAGAAGGCGTTCGCGGCAACAGAGGAGGAGTTTTTGCGTTTTGTGAAACAAACATGGATTGCGCGGCCACAGATGGCTTCAGTGGGTTCGTGCTGTCTTCTGGGAGCGATTTCAAAGGACGTTCTTTATGTTGCTAATCTGGGGGATTCAAGGGCGGTTCTGGGTCGGAGAGCGTTGGAAGGAGAGGTGAATTGCGGTGGTGTGGTGGCGGAGCGTTTGTCCACTGATCATAATGTTGGAGTGGAGGAGGTCAGAAAGGAGGTGGAAGCTCTTCACCCTGATGATGCACACATTGTGGTCTGCACTCGTGGAGTTTGGCGAATCAAGGGCATTATTCAGGTATTTTTGAAAATTATATGACCTTTATATGTTTGGGAATTTCATGGATTAAAAATGAGAAAGTGAAGCACCGTGAAAATTCATTAATTCATTATGTTAAAATTTTAGATTGAGAATAAATTTAATTCCTTGTATGGTTGGATTAAAAGTGATGTAAATTGAATTACTTATACTTTGTGAATGAATTTACTTCCAATATTTGTCTGTATCTCTTTTCTGCTTATATTTGTGTTTAATGCGTGACATGAATTATCAAGATCAGCAAACTTCAGCTTCGTTGTTATACTAGAATTGGTTGTTACTGGACATGCATTGCTTCTGCTCTGGTTTTGGCTTTTGTTTTAAACTTTTGATCAAGTTCCATGAATTAGTTTGCATGTATTCTTTATGTAATTTTTAAAAAATATATATCTACATTCATTTTATTGTATTTGAGCTTTCAGAATCTATTTCATGGTATTTGGTATGGTGATCGTTCACTTGAATTTTACAACATTTGGCAGAGACAGTGCTCCAGTATAAACAAACAAAAATATCTTTTTTTTTCGAAAATAATGATGGAAACTGAAGAAATTATTAGACGACAGAAATGAAAAACTAAACTACAAGGTGAAAATTTCATTAATATATTGTTTTAAGATTTTGAACAGAGTGATGATAATACCTAACGTGATTAGACTCATATTTGATAAACCCAATAGCATGAATATATTGTTTAGAGATGAGAAGATTTGATAAAAATATTTTATGTTATTGTCGTGAGAGTGAGTTAAATTTATTTGACACTCTTATAAAACGAAAAGAAAAAAAAATGGTAATTCTTTTAACTATTTTTTGTCTTTCAGGTATCAAGATCAATTGGAGATGCTTACTTAAAGAAAGCAAATTTTGACGCAAACCCTTTGTTCCAACAATTTGCATGTCCATTGTACTTGAAGAGACCTGTAATGACAGCCGAACCATCAATACTGATGCGGAAATTGAAGGAAAATGATCTGTTTTTAGTCTTTGCATCAGATGGACTTTGGGAGAATTTAACTGATGAAGAGGTTGTTCAAATTGTCTCAGAAAATCCCAGAACAGTAAGTCCACACCAAACAAACATCCTAAAATAAACTACAAACACAAGTTCAACCAAAAAAACACAATACTAAAATCAAACTTCAGTTCAATTAAAAAAAATTGAAATTACATACGTAACTGGTTTTGTATTGTAGGGAATAGCAAAACGAGTGGTGACAGTTGCACTAGAAGAGGCAGCAAAGAAGAGAGATATGAGGTATGATGACTTAAAGAAAGTTGAGAAAGGTCTGAGGCGTCATTTTCATGATGATATTACAGTGATCGTTCTATATCTCGATCATTTGAAAGAATCTATAAATGGTAGGTCAAGACATAAAGGAGATTATGGCTGCATTAATACTCCCATTGATATCTTCTCTCAAAGTGCAAACGAAATTGATCTTTAAACTGAATAAGCTCATACTTTATTACTACTATATAGCGTCTTTTACACTCCCCATCACTTTTTAGCTAGAAATTGACCACTTTTAAACATGAAAAAACATTTCTAAAGAGGTACTCGCCAATGCCAAAAAGAAGGGATTGTGAATGTGATGTAAACTGGTTAAGTTGTAACTGTAGATTGACAAAACGCTTCAAACGAACAAGGATATATGCTTTATTTTCTTCTTCTTGTTTTATTTGTTGAAATTGAAAAAAAAAAACAGATAATTTAAAACAATTCAGCACCCTGTTAAATCAAATGAATTAGACTCTCACGGTATTTTTTTGCTATTTTTATTCTTTTATTTGAATAAATTTATCCTTTTTCATAATTGTTATAACACCTTTTAATAAATATAATGTTAAATTTTTTTTCATAGTTGCTATAACTCCTTTTAATAACTATAAAGATAACAAGAAATAAAAAAAAAATGTATTTACTTAAAATACTATGAAATAAATTAGTAAAGTGAACAAGAAAGTTGAATTATAATAGTGATAGACAAACATCCCAATTTTTATTCAATACCTAACACCAACAAAATAATGTTTTTGATTTAAAATATAAAATGATTTAGAATGAATTAACTTAACAAATAAAAATAATATTTTTCTTTGTTAGGTGTGAAATAGGGATAGGAAAGTTAAGAGGTGTACATGAAACTTTTTACTTGTAATAAGAAGACATTTTTATCGATAATTTGTTTAATAATTATTATAATGTGATAAAATACAATGCAAGAATAAAAAAGCGTGATAAGAGTAAAATAAGCATTAGATATATTCAATATTTGATATGCACTAAAGATAAAATAATAATATAGTATATTGAAAGTAGTTAAAATAGTAGTAATATTGATTATATTTGTGTTGACAACAATCAAATAGTGATAAACGATGATGGTGACAATAACTATAAACAATGATAACAGTGAAATGAAACGACTATAATGATAAGAACGATGATGATACTAGTATCAATTATATCATAAGTTGTGATAGTGGTTATAATGATAATAATAATAATGTTAATAGTAATAAAAGTGATTATGTTAATAAAGATGATGATCTTGGGTGATTTGACCTGGTTCAACCACTCCTAATAAATTTTTTTGGTTAGATAAAGCTCTATGTCAAGCTACAGAACATTTTGTCTCACCTTAAAAAAATAAAAATAAACAAAAAAAAATAAGTTGTGTATTTTTAAAATTTAAGTAATAAACCTAACTAATTTTAACACATGATTATATATATATATATTAAAAAAGTTAATTTAAAAATAATAATTATCATTTTATAAAAGAAATGATCTCCCTCTAAATTTAAAAAAATAGTGTTGAAAAGTGATAAGATTAAATTTATAATATAGAATAAGACATATCTCACTTCATTGAGATGACTTTTTTAGGTTGAATCAAACTTAAGTTTTATTATCTTCATTTGATATTATAGTAATTTGTAATTTATATTAATTAAAATTTAGATTAATTGTGATAAAAATCTGATTATAAATAAAGTCAAATTATACTATGAAAATTGAGATTACATAATTTTATTAAATTAATTTTGTAAAATTGAGTTTGATTTAAATAATTGATTATTTTATATATTTTTCTAATTCAACTTTCTTTCGTGATAAGAAAAATGTAAAAATGAAAGGATAAGATAGACAATATGATATACACTTCAAACTACAATTGATGAAATAAAATTGATAAAGTTAAAAAATATGTTTAAAAAATCATAAAAATGAAACAAATATTCAAGTTTAAAAATATTTGAAATGTTTTTTTACTCGTTTTTCTAAATTATAATAAAATATACTTTTTAAAACATTAATATAAATTATAACATAAAATGAAATCACATGGAGAAAAAAATAAACAAATAATAATTCAAATTTAAATATGAATATTTTATCTTTTGAATTTCATGACAGTAATATTAATTTATTATATTATAGTAAATGAAACATTTTTTTACAATAAAACTACACTTAGTTAGAAAATAAAAATAATTATATAAAATAATATTTTACATGATAAAAAACAAATTAAAATATTAAAAAATATGTCAGATGTATCATAAAAACGGTTTGATATACCATTGTCTGAAATTGTACAACAAAATGTATAATTAATGCTATGATAAGATAAAAAAATACCTTAAACTTTGATAAAACTTTCTAAAAATCAAACTAGTTAAACAGTTGAAAAATAATGAAAAATATTTGAGAAAACAAAAGTTTTTTCAAGTGAAACAAAAATTAAGCATAAAAAAAATACAAAACATAAGTTTTTTTTACATATCCATAGTAAATGCAACTCTACATAATTGAACACTTAATATTCTGAGCCACACATTCTCATGTGAAAAAAAATAAACAACAAGTCAAAATATTAGAAAGTTAATCAAATGTGAACCTAAAAACTGTTTGATTAACTCAAATTGATAATACATGATTTTAAACATAACTACAGAAAAAAAAATATAATAATCAAGATTGTGACAATATAGATAAAATATATGGAAGATGTGAGTGAATTTTAAAAATAAATACTAAGACAATTATATATATGTATATGTACCTATTTCTTCTATCTTCATATTCAATTAGAGATGTCGAATGTAACCTATATCTACATATACTCAACTAATGTGAAAATCCTCATCAAAACAACAACGAATTCTGACAATATTAACAGAACAAATTTATTTGGCACCTTTTAAGTGTTTATATATACACATATCTACACCTCTCTCTCTCTCTCTCTTTCTATATATATATATATATATATCATAATATATATATATATATATATCGTTCAAGGGCTATTTTGGATTATGTTCAATGTAATTATAACTCCTCAAATTTGACTTCTTAATTTGATTATCAAGTAGTTAATGATAAAGGAAGAAAAAACACAACAAGTACAATTAAGGGCTTTATTAAAAGGTTGTTCATAGATAATTGTAATAAGCATGGAAAATTTAGTGGAAATTCATCAAAATAAGTCAAGATTTTGGGTCGAGCAACTTGAAGGCATGGATTATTTGGAGCCATCTCCTTATGCTCATACTTGGAACAACTTGAAGAAGGTTTTTATATGCAATACGATGAGTTTTATTAAAGATGAATTAAGGGTTAGGCTGATATCCAAGAATGAGTCAGAAGTTGGAGTGTTCTGAAGGTAAACAATGAATAAGTCACGTAAAGTCTATGAATTAATGTGAAATATCAAGACCACCATTGTCAATAAGTCAACTAAAACCAGTATTTGGGCACTGAAATTGACAAACATGTTATTTAATATGTAATTATCTTTGTAATTTTTAACTTGTTATCTTTGTAACTTCCGAGAAAGTTTTTATCTTTATAATATTTATTTTGATTATTACTTTTGTATCTAAATATTCTTATTTAGGAGAATAAAAACAATTTGTAATTATTTTATCTATAAATAAAATATGAACTCTCATGACTAAAGATGAAACTAATTTTAACTTAAGGTTCTATTCGTTTGAAAAAGAATTACTGTTGAAAAGAATTAGAGATTGATAATTAAAATGTGTTCGTTTCAAAACATTTACAAGTAAAAGAAGATGACGATTTGAAGTGATTTAAAAAATATTTATTTCTCTGAATCATGGATGATATGCATATATTTGAACTGATTTAGATTAAATCTCATTTTTATCCTTCTACAATTTTATTAATATCAATCTTCATACATAAAACATTATAATAAGTATTATAATAAGTACGTACTTGAATTAATATTATAATAAAAGTAACCATAAATAATAAAATAATAGTTTCAAATTTTTGACATTTTAATTTTTAATTTTAATTGTTTATATTTTGATATTTTTTATGTTTCAAACAAGCAAAATACTTTTTATTAGATATGAATTATGTTTTAAAAAAATAATTTTTAAACATTATTATTTGATTTTACTTAAATACAAATTTATTTTATTTTCAATTTTTTTTAATTTTTTTCTTTGTAATATCTTTTACCAATAAATATATTATTAATAAATATAATTTATATTATTTTTATCACTAAAATATTTTGGTAATTTTTATTTTCTATCAATTAAAATATTTTTTATTGATCACATCGATTAAATTCTTCACAAATTTGCTCTAACTTTAGTTTCAAATCTATTCTCAATTACTTCCAAATCACTTGAAAAAAAAAATAACACTCAATTTACTCTCCAATCTCCTCAAATCCATCTACTTCATCTCTCGGGAGAGTAATTGAGGAAATTTGAGAGGATTTGATATTTTGTTGTTTATTTGAGTAGATTTGGAGGTAAGTAAGTGTGGATTTGGAAATAAATAAAGTTTGTGAGAATTAATATAAAATTTAATTGATATGACATATTAAAAAAATTGTACTTCTAAATTCATTTTCACTTAAAATCCTCTCAAATCCCCTCAATTACTCTCCTCCAAATTCATTCAAGCGAACAAAGCCTAAAAAGAAGTAATCATAAACTTTGAGTCACACACATATATATCATATCATATCCAATTATTATTATTTTTACTAATTTTCTCATATGTTCTAAAGGTAACCTAAAGAGCACGGCACTTTTTTGATAGAACCAAAATATCTATATTCCGATAAAGACACGTGCTCTGCTGCCCAGTTTAGAAGTAGGAACACTGGAGGGATGCCGTGATCTCTAGGTTACATAATTTAACGTGGTTATATAATTTTTAATTAATCCTAATTTCAGCAACGAAAAGTTTCTAATCTCAAGTAAATTCTATCACTTTTCCATTGCTACAATGTAAACAAAGAAAACCAGTTTAAAAAGTAAGGGCGACTACTCAAAATACATGAAAAATATATTTTTCTTATTAATTATTAGTAGATGAAATTAAATAAGAAGAGCATTAATAGTAATTGGCTCCTTCTCTTTTCGTTTCCCTTACTATAAGGTTTCATTTTCTTCTTACTCGGTTTTGTCTTCACTGTTCCTTTCTGGTCGCAATCAGCTGGACCAAAAGCACGAGCAAGTCACGTGACGTTCCTATGGTTACGGCCCCATTATGGATAGCTGTTAATTGGGCTTAGACAAGATGCACTCGAGTCTCTGTCATGGATTTGATGCCCATGATGTTTGCAAGGAAAATGTCAAGTTCCCATTAATTCGTACCATCCATAACGGAAAAGAAAGAGTGAAGTCAGAAAATGTATTTTGTTTTATTCTTTTAATAAAATCATGTATTTTTGTGTTTTATTGTTGTGAAGTAAGTATCTATCTTTACCAAGTGGAAGCCCAGCTGTCTCAGCATATCTTTTAAATTAAATTTTTAAAAAGTTACAAAAAAAACTGATTATGAGACATCACAAAATTTGTATTTTTATAACGTTTAGTCAGTAATGAAAAATAAGTGAAAAATGTGTTATTAGCTTTTTTAAAAGTATTTAATATAAAATAGCTCACATGGTCTCTTTTTAAGAATGATTTGTTTAAATTTTTTAAAATAATAATTTTTTTTGAAAAAAAATTATCCTTTTATATCAAACAATTTATCTAAAAATTAAAATTATTTTTTGTTTCATACACCTCTTTCAAAAATCGAAGTAAAAAATATTTAATTTTTTAACGTGCTTTTTAAAAACAAAATCATTATCAGAGTTAAAAACAAATTATTAATATAATTTTAAGAATGCATATTTTATTTCTTATTCTTGATTTATTTTTCAAAAGTCACCCAAAGAGAGTCGTTGTGATTGAGACTAAAATTTAGAACTTTTCTGAAATATGACCAGGAGTGACGAATTAAATGCATAAAATAATTATTTTGATTTATTATATATTGAATTTCCTTTATTGATGTTCATCCATAACAAATAACTAGAAATTCGATTATTTAATAAAACATCACATCAATCCATCCATAAATAACAGGCGTGGATATCCTATTACCCGTCAACAAAATTTCATGATTCTTTCGCTAAAAATAATAACTCAAAAAATATCTTCTATTTTCTTAAATACTTAAAATTATTATTTTTTTTTGTAAAAAAGATAAACGTATATATTTTAAATCTTTAGAAAGGTAAAATTATGAAAAAACTTATTGAATTAACTTTGGTCCCTCACAGAAGAATATATTGGATTTTGGTAAATAATATAGATATTATTAATGCCTTGTAAAATAAAATTGATTAATTTAATTTATTATATATATTTTTACATCTTTGTAATAATAGATTAAATGGATGTTGATTCTTTAAAATTCAGATTGTACAGTTTGTTATTCCTTGGCTAGTTGGGCCAGAATACTCATTTTAACATGTTGACTTGTTTGACGACTAGAGCTATGCTTGAACAAACTATCTCCCTACATTTTAAAATGATTTATTTTAGTATTTATTATATATATTATCTGGAATTTTTCCAAGTCTATTTAAGCTTAAAATAACTAGAAAAAAGTAAAAATATCATGCATGTGACTAAAATAAATAATTTATAAATATAATAACTAAAAAAATTATTTAATATAAAAAGAAATCACAAATTTAATATTTAAAAAGATTATTTATCTATTTATGTTCAATTCAATTTGTTTTTTATCTCCCATTCCTCATTTGTATATTATCCTTTCCCATGACAGGGTAGACAGGGTAGGAGTTATTTTTCCCTGTATTGGGGACAGAACATATGTTGTCCACTTGATTTCTAATCTAGCGAACAACTAAAAATCTCGAATCTTCTTCTTTTCGGTGACCAATAAAATTGCACTGTATCTATTCCGGGTCAAGTTTTTTCGAGATAATTATTCTATATATATATAGATGTGCTGAAATTGCTCCCCGTGGAAATCCGAATACAACAAAAGGCGGCGAACCTGTGATCCCCAAAGTCGTGCTTTCACACGGTGGCCGGTAACTGAGCAAAACTGAAAACGGAGAGGAAAAAGTGACCGAATGGGGGTAGCGGCGGAAGCTCATAACGTGAAAATTTTGGGATCAGGCACCGAGTACATCGTTCTGGGTCATGGTTTTGGCACGGATCAGTCTCTGTGGAAACACTTTGTACCTTATCTCGTCGACGATTACCGTGTCGTTCTCTACGACAACATGGGCGCGGGTACCACTAACCCTGAGTTCTTCGATTTCGACCGTTATTCCACCTTAGAAGGATATGCGTCTGATTTGCTTGCCATTTTAGAAGAGCTCCAAGTTGAATCTTGCATTTTCGTTGGCCACTCTGTTTCCGGAATGATTGGTGCTATTGCTTCCATTGCTCGCCCCGATCTCTTCACCAAGCTCGTTATGGTCGGCGCTTCCCCAAGGTAATCGTGAATTAACTAGCTCCGCCCTTAAAAGTACAAGTCACTGGACAAACAATAATTTATTCATACTGATTTTCAATTTCTCTCTCTTTTTCAGGTATTTGAACGACGTGGATTACTATGGAGGGTTTGAGCAGGAAGAGCTGAACCAACTGTTCGATGCTATGGCGGCGAATTACAAATCGTGGTGCAGCGGGTTCGCTCCGCTGGTTGTGGGCGGAGACATGGAATCCGTGGCGGTGCAGGAGTTTAGTCGAACGTTGTTCAACATGCGGCCGGACATAGGGCTGATGGTGTCGCGGACAATATTTCAAAGCGATATGAGACACATTCTGAATCTTGTCAGTGTCCCCTGCCACATCATCCAGGCGGAGAAAGACATGGCGGTTCCGGTGGTGATCTCGGAGTACCTCCACCAAAACATTGCTGCTCAGTCCATCGTGGAAGTTGTTTCCACCGAAGGCCATTTGCCGCAGTTAAGCTCGCCGGATATCGTTATTCCGGTGCTGCTCGAACACGTTCAACTTGAGATTGAGGCAAGAAGATAAACACTTTGGTGATCCACTTGATTCCGTTGGAAAGGAGAATCTGTCTGTGTATTTGTGCTTTGTTCTTTGTCTTTTTTTTTTTCACTTTGTTGTATATGCGAACGTACAGTGTTAGAGCGTAGAGGTAGCAACACTGTAGTAGTGGGAATCAAATGTCCATTTCGCTGTGGTTCGTGGTGGGTTGACGATCTCTGAACAGCGAGAAAAAGAACAACAGCAGTATGTCGTAACTGTCATTAGATGTTTTAAATCTAGGTTTAGAAACTCGTTTGTTTTTTATGATTATGAACAAATTCTGTTTTAGCTTTTATATTTAAAAGTATTTTCTTCATTGTTCAATTTATTTTATCTTTTCAATCTTTATACATGTTATTTTTATTTCAGCAAGTCCCTAAAAAATGTTTAGACATATATACTGTAAAATAAATAAAAGTATTATAAATAGAAATCAAATAGGCAATTCAGTTTTTAATATATGCATATGCGACATATAGCTCGTAATTAGATAATGATATAAAAAGTCATACAAGCAGTGTTTTTCTTAACAGTGAAATTATTTAGATATTTAGACAGTTATAAGAAAGAGGGAAGAAGCGAAAATATAAGAAAAGGTAGAGAATATAAAAAAGAAGTTAGTATTATATAAAATAATAAAAACACGTGTGAATAGATAACTCTTTCTATACAAAATATTTACGGTAACGAACAATGAAAACTTTAAATGGCAAGATAATCTGATTTTCTAAATACATATAAGGACAAAAGGAGCATTGACTAACTGGGGTAACGGATCAAAGAAAACTAAAAGAAACAAGATATTTTTTTTGTATGAACGCAAGTCACCTAATGATGACTATAGAAGAGGTCCTAAGTCATACACGTGTGCATAAATTAGGATACAGAACTTTAATACCAATATAAAATAATGCTTTAGATGTGAAAAACAGATCATGAGTTCTTACTTGACTGATCTTTTTAAACTCCTTTTTTTTCTCACTTTTTGGTCAGAGAAGTGTAAAGTCGCAATATTATCTTTTTGGAAGATTTGTATCAATATTTCATATAGTTTTTATCATGTCTTAGGTGCTTTAATAATCTGTCTAATCTTTTAGTATCTATTAAAATATATGTTATCAAGTGAAACTGTTTAAGTAATTTTTTTAATTTTACAATGAAAAATAATGTACAGTCTCTTTCGTTAGGTTAGGGATATTTCATAGGTATTAGTTATAATGGTATTGTTGTATGTTTAATTAATATTGAATTGTAGTAAATTTTTGTGTAAAAGTATGTTGAAGTCTGGTAGTACTTCAACTGAATAATGTTATTTGTATATATGATTTTTTTATTTATTCTTCTTATTGTGTTTATCTATTACCTATTATATTTGTGGGTTTGTATGTTATTGTGGTAGGTATATCTAGGATGGGCATAAGTAACTAAACTATACTAAACTACAGTTAATTATATTTTTAATAAACTACAAAAGACTGAAATACTTGTTCAGTTTTAAAAAACTGAACCTATACCAGTTAACTAATAACTAAACTATTTCCAGATTATAAGTGTAAGTCAGTTTTATTAGACTCTTGACTTTTCCCTTACACAGTTTTTACGATAATTTGTTTTAAATTTTGTTATTTATTTTGTCTTTAATATAAATTATATATTTTTAGACTAGATATACAGATCATATAAAATATTATTATATGCAGAATATAATTTTTACATGTAATTTATTAAAATAATTTTATATTTAACAGAAATCATTTATAATAAGACAGATAATTTTTTTTATGTTTTCTCGTGAAGAATTGAATAAGAATGAGACACAATTTAATTATGTTGTGGATTGTCTAAATTTAAGAACAACTAATTAATACAAAAATTAACTAAATACAAAATCCCCAATTAAGGTAAGATGCTAAAATTAAATCAGAATTAAAATCTTTCTAACCTTGGTGAATCGATGATCGAAAGAAAAAAGTAATAAAAAAAGACTTTACCACAAAGCACAATGGAAGATAAACATAAAAGAGATAGTTTATGTAGTTAACTGCATTGTAACTATAAAAGTTCAGTTTTTTAAAACTGAACCACAACATGGTATAATTTAGTTATCAGTAAAAATAGTTTAGTTTTTATAGTTTAATATAGTATAGATAATCTATAGTTTAGTGCAGTTAGGTTAATTATGTCCAGCCCTAGGTATATCTCACTTTTTTACTTAATTTCTAATAAAGTAGTGTTATTAACTGAAATCAGTAATCGTAATTTTTATAAATTATTAAGGTTGAAAATTGTTCTGTTTTGAATGATTTTAGATTGTGGCAATTGAAGATGTGTGTGCGCTTTTTATTATTATTATTATTATTTAGCATGGTCTTATTAGAACTTTTGAAGATAAATTCAATCTTGATGCATCATGGTGAAGAATGACAAGAAATGTTGTAAGAGAAGACTTACACAATTATTCTTAGTCTCAATGATAAGATGGTGAGACAAGTCTCCGAAAAGGAAAATCACATCAGGATTATGGCTAAGTTTGAAGCTTCTATATAACAAATACTCTTGTAAATTGTCTGCATCTAAAGCAAGTGTTATACTCATCTAAAATAAATATAATTAATGAATAATTAGATGAATTCAACAAGTTGATCTTTGATTTAGAAAACATTGATTTTCATATTGATGTTGAAAATCAAACATTATTGTTGTTGTGATATGTTTAAAGAGATAAAAGAAGACTAATAACCTTGATAGATAGTTCAGGTAAAAGATTTGATGAAACATCCACATGAATGAAATAACTCAATCATTAAGGCTTTGTTCACTTGAATGGATTTGGAGGAGAGTGATTGAGAAGATTTGAGAGGATTTAAAGGTAAATTTTTTTGTTGTTTATTTGAGTAGATTTGGAGGTAAGTGAAGGTGGATTTGGAAGTAAATTTTTTTAATGTGTCACGTCAATCAAATCCTACACTAATTCTCACAAACTTTACTTTCAAATCCACTTTCATTTACCTCCAAATCTACTCAAATAAACAACACAAAAAATTACCTTCAAATCCTCTCAAATCTCCTCAATCACTCTCTCCCAAATTCATTCAAGTGAACAAGGTCTAAAGGCCCATGTGGTGCAAGCATTATTAATGATTTTGAGTGTTTGAGGAAGTTAAGTTTGTACCTAAATTGACTTAATATCTTTTAATTATCTTGAAAATAAGAGATATTTGTTTAAAGGTGAAAAGGTAATATATGAAGGTGTTAAGGAATTAATAGTAATGATAAAG